AATTTATATTTAAAAAAAAAACTTATTTAATTTTTAATTAATAATGGCAACTTTAAGATTTGTAAATGTATATGGTCTAATATTATATTATTCCTATTTTTGTTTCAGATTATGTGTCAATGCGAAAAAAAATATTTTTAAAATAAATATTGGTTATCAAAGATCCAGCCAATCGAGTACATTTTTGATACCTAATATTTCTTATTACTTTTTATAATTTAAAATTCAATGTGTGTTTTTTTTATAAATTAATTATTATATTAAAAATTAAGATAAATTTATATATTTATCTCCAATAATTAAAACAAATTTATATACTTTTTTTTTCTAACTCGGGTGTTCTGTCTAACAATAGAAATAAATATTTATATTAATAAAAAATAGAAACAATGTGATTTTTTTTTTGTTTTTATAACTTGCTTTTTTAAAAATAAATTTTAACTGATACATATTGATTTACAATTATATTAGTAATGTATTAAGTTTGGTCCAAGATAAAGTAGAATATTATAAAGATACAATTATTTTTACAGACAAATTGTAGATCCTTCATAAGTATTGTAAATATTCACATATATACCCAACATAAAATACACATATATATAAATGTTACCCAGGATCTAAAAATATTTTAAATTATAATCATTTAGGTATCTTCATTTGCTAATATTGTTGTATTTATAAATTGTCAACAATAAAAACAAATTGATATAATTACATAAATTATATAATTTATATAATTCTTAAATGATCATAAGCAATGATCGTGGGCAAGCTATAATATTATTTTGCTTAACCTTTTCACTGATACACTATTTATCCACTGAAACCTGTTTAAAAATAAAATTTTATTTTTGTGATCTATTATATGATCTATCTAATTACCTATTTAGGTTAAAATAATGCGAGCCAAGGTTTCCAAAACTTGTACGGTAACCGACAAATGAGAATATTATAAAATACATTGATGTAATAGTATGTCTAGATCAGTGGAAGTTAAAAATTGTATTTCATTTTAATATAATTGTTTATACACAACTGTCAAATTTAATTGTTTTGTATAAATATATATTGCGTATTAGTGTAAGTTATTTATAATTAATTTGAAAATAATTTTAGAAATTTTATCAATGATATCATATTTTCATACGCTGTATAATCCGAAAATAAAATTTATGCTGTTAGTAAAAATTTTACAATCCAACATCTTATTTTTTCATCTATCAAGTGAATAATAATAGTTATTAATAGTGTATAATAATGAGTAATTATGTTTAAATCTTGAATAAGATTATATAAGCTCGATATACATTGAAAATCTTTAATTTTGTGGTTTTTAAAAATTAAATGGCTACCTAACTAAGATAATTAAAACTTTTATAAAGAAGAATAGTTACTGATCTAAGAGCCTACCTTATAAAATATAATTTTTTGCAAAAGAAGGAACCTATCATTGTTTCACATTTGAACAAATAAAGTTTATTTAATCAAATGAACAAATAAATTGTCTTCTATAGTATAAAAAAAAAAATGTTGCTTTGGTATTATTATTCTATATTTCTACTTTTTTTTTATTTTATGTTAGTGAATCATACAAATCTGGGCAAGTTAACCAATGTTTTTAACTAGTTAAAGTTATTTTTTAAATATAAATTAATTTGATTAAGTAACCAAGTTGAGTCACAGATTTTCAGGAAAATAATAACTTAAGTTAGTTAGGTTTTTTTTTATGTAATATTACAGTAAAACCCTATAATGGAATGGCTTAGTATTAACTGATTTTCCGTTATAGGGAGACTAAAATATACGGTAAATAGGTTTTACGGAACTGTTTTTATTGTCCGTTGTAAGTAGATTTTCGTCTTATGGACGAGCCATTATATGATTATAAGAGGTTTTATTGAATGTCATTGAAAAGTGTTATTAGTAGGAAATATACTGTATGCAGGTACATCAGAAATAAGCCCGTTGTTCTGGCAATTTTATTACTATCAATTAAAATTAACAGACATCTTAGGACTAGATGTTGTGATTTTGGAGAAAATATAAATACCTAAACCTCCTAATTATGTTTCAAAATAGGCAATTATTATTTATATTCACAATTGTTATAATGTGTTTAATATAATTGTTGCCAGATATTGCTCTTTCCTGGTGTTGCTCAGTATTTTAGACTTACCATACAAGACTCATGTGGGTATTCATAGAATGCATGTCCACCTTGTCATGTTAACAATATTTACATAACTGTTATTTTTGATGAAAATCAATGCAAAAGATGTACAGTTCATTATTCATAAATAACTTTAATTTTAACAAAATAACTAAGTTAAGTTCCAATTATTTATGAAATAAGTTTGTTACTAACTAGGTTATTTTATAATAATCTATTTTTTTTTTTTTTAACTAGTTAAGTCAATGGTTATCAACAAAAATATCTAGTTAAGGACCCTTGCAAAAATATTACTGTATTTATGGTACTTCTGTAAATTTTGTAATACAAAAGTAAAAAATACTTTAGAATTTTATCTTTTAATAATTTATACAACAGTAATATAAAAATGTTTAAATTCCTTGAAATTTGAAAAGACTGTGAGCAATTAATTTTCTTTACAGTGTAAAAATATTAGTTGTTGTTGTCTGTTACCTGTTGTGCAATACTTTTGGTAGTTATGGTACCAATTCACGGTATTCTAAAATTCCAAAAATACCGCCAGTCCTAAATTGACCTAACTTCTGGGAAGAACATTATCTGAGCATAAGCGTCAGAAAATTTTTAGTTATTTTTATTTTCTATATAGAAATGGTTATGTGAAATATCACAAATTATAAATGCTCATCTCGCTTGAATATTAAAATATCAGATAAAAGCCGACACTTCAGTACAGATAATGTCACTTACTTAAAAGTTTAATAATAGGTAAATAATTCGCTCTAATATCAAAAACATCATATTATTGAAACTAGTGAACGAAAACATATAAACAGAGCTAACACTGGAAAACCAAATAGGCCCACCAATCAAGTGAAATAATATTTTTCTTATGATTATTAGATCATAAATAAAAATATATTCATAGATGAAAAAAAAATCTTTATTTAGATATTGTATTGTACATTATTTAAAATTTTATTCTATACATTTTTGGTAGGCTTAATAAAAACTTTTTTTCGTTTCAATTTCTTGCGCATTACTTCAACTTCGTGTAATTCTGAATATACTTCGGCAAATATTTCTTTTTGTTCTTCTTCTGGTATTGTTTTCCTATAACACCAAAGTTAATATTAAAAAAAAAAGTCAATAAAACAAGTAGAAATGTAATTTACCTATAGTGTTTCATTAAGTCATATTTCTCCCAGGGTGTCGCTAATTCTTCAGCTCTTTCATAAAACCGATCTTCTAGCCCTAAGTCAGCTAGCCCTTTCATATTTTTTCTTTCCCACCTAGCACGCCAAGGTCTAGGTTTTAGTTTAACCTAAAAAAAAAAAGTTTGTACTTTAATTTCTTAAATTAGTTGTTTTAATTATTTATTTTACCATTTCAGGGTTCACCGGTACAGGTACTCCTTCGGGTAAATATTCAACTTCCATATTTTCATCAAATGTACTGTATTCATTAGGTGCATCTCTCAGGTATAACAATTCATCATCAAGACGTCTCTCTAAGCGTAAAACTTCAATCTTTTGTATAGTCGGATCATAAAGTTGATATTTCATTTCCGTACCTATATTTTAATAATTTAAACTTTCATTAATATAATCCAAAACATACCACATTTATATTTATTCACTTACCAATATGCTTAATAACGTTTCTAAGAGTAAAATTAGCTCTGAGGCCACATCCTAAACGTTGAATGCATATACCTACAAAACGAGTAGCTTTATTGGGAGCATGCTGATTAGATGATGAAACAGCCATGATGGACCCTAAATCGAAAAAAAAAATATTAAAATGTTAAATATTATATGAATGTATAGCACATACACATAAATTGGATATTTTAGTAATAACTAATAAGTAGTGGCATGTTAATTTTGACACAGCTGCATCAACTGTTCAGAGGGGTAGAGACAGTGGCGTCAAAGTCTACACTAAAGTTTAGCCTTATTTTTATTACTTCATAGCTTTGTTATAAGTAAATATTGTATTTTTGCGGGGTGGTAGTGGTGATGAACAATTAATTAAATATGAAATTGTTTATTTATTTATTAATTAATTTACGGAATAAGATTCCTAGTACAGTTACACAACAATAATACAGAAATTTAACATAATTAACATAAACAAGGGGCGATAGCCCAAAAATAGAGCAAAATTACAGGTACAATAAATAAAATTATAATAATTGTGTCATTTAAAAGTTAAGTTAAGTCTGCAAAACTACTGGTAATTAGTTAGAAAATAAAAATTACCTAATCACAATCTTATCATTAATAAATAAATATTTAATACCTATATTTCAAATGAGTATGTGTTGTAGAGATATCTTGTTATAATGAATATGGTTAACTTTATTGAGTTTTTAATATAAATGAAAATACACTTAACAGAAACAGTCACAAGGTATTACACAAATTGAATTACATATTTTAAGAGTCTAAATGTTAGGTTAGGTTACTACACCATTGACAATTCTGGTACATAAATTAGATGAGATATAATAATAAGATAAAAAAAAAAATAAATATAAATAAGATATAATAATCAGTCTGGTCATCTGCACCACATACTCCCCCTTCAGTGAGGGGTGAGTTTCTGAACCTCACTGGTAGTTTGACTGGGCGGCCACTCGGAGTTGTTCTTAGTCCTAGCCAGATTGGTAATGTCTGCGATATGTGGCCTTGGTTAAGGGTTGTTGGGCTGGTGCCACAATTGTTAATGTGGCTCTACAAATATTTGTATGTCTGATTCTTCTACAGCTAGTTCTGCGAATTTTGCCAAAGTAGGCTCTGCAAATTGTGTTGTGGCAGGTTCTACAGATGTTTGTATGGCTGATTCAGCAGATTTTTTTTAGGGCTGTTTCTTCAAGTTTATCTGTAGCTAGGTCTGCAGTTTGTGTTGTATCTGGTTCTGCAAATTGTGCTGAATCTGTTTCTGCAAATTTTTGTATGTCCGTCTTTTCTACGGCTAATTTTGCGAATTGCGGTGAAGATAACCCTGCAAATTGTGTTTTGACAGTTTCTGGATATTTTAGTATGTCTACTACTTGCACCGTTAGGTTTCTTAATTTTGTGGAAGTTGGCATTACAAAATTTGCTGTAGCTGCTTCTACACATTTTGCTGTAACCGGTTCTACAAACGTTGCTGTAGCTAGTTCTGCAAATTGTGTTGTGGCAGGTTCTACGAACGTTTGTAATGCTGCTTCTTCAAGTCTGCAGTTTGTGTTGTATGTGGGGTTCTGCGAATTTTGATGAATTTGTTTCTGAAAATTTTTTTTTTTCATTTATTTAAACTTTACAATGTTTTAACATATTGCATGTTTTTACAAGGTATTAATTATAATAATGACACGGTTAAGAGAAATATAATAGTAATAATTAAACATAAATTCTAAATTAACAATATATAGTCGTTAATAGTGATAGACATGGTTGGTCGTAAAATAGTTTCTATTAAAATTTGAGATAAAATTAATGAGGATAGGTCTGGGAAAGATAAGATTATGTAGGTATTATGAGACAGTGTGCGATAGTATTATGGGGAAATAATGTCTTTAGCTATTAATGTGTTTAGGACTGAGGTAAGGAGGGAAATTAATGGATTAATTAAAGAGCTTAAATTGGATATGAGTTTTGAAAAGGTATTTGATATTTGCTCTGGGATTTTATTTTGGTTATTGGTGGCTTCAGCATGTGATTTGGATTTGGTTCTGGGTTGAGACTGTTGACACTGAGGGTCATGATCTTTGACTGGTTGAGATTTATGAGCAGATTTTTTAAATATTGACTCAAATGCTGGGCATCCTTTGAAGTTGGCGGTGTGGTCTTTAGCGCATAGTGAGCATTTGGCTGGACTATTTCGGTCCTTGGTGCACTCAATTGTCAGGTGGTTTTCACCACATTTGACACATCGAGCTTTATGGTTGAAATAATTCTTTGTATGTCCATAGTCTTGGCAAATAAGACATTGCGGTGGGCCACGTCTTTTTTTGATTGGTTTTTCGATTTGCACTATTGTGTTGAGAAGAGAAGTAATATCATGGATATCATTGTTATTATCTTGCTGACGGATATCCACGAAGAATACTGGAAGTGGGCAGTTGTTCCTGTTTTTGGCATTGTAAATACTCTTGACTGAATGTCCCAGTTCAGTAACAACTAGCGTCGGTTTCGTGTAAATGATCTATTATTGCGTTGTAAGTTTGTTTATCGGTGGGTTGTACAATGAGGTATGACGGGGTTGACTTACAGGTAAAACCATTTGGTATGGTGATATTTTTTAGAACAGTGTTGAATGCTGAGAAGTTGGATATGTTTTTGATGTGGATAGGAGAGGCCACGGGCTTAGCGTTGTGAACTTTGTGAGATGGTCTGTCCGGATCTTTCGTGATGGTAGTTGAAGGTGTGGTGAGTACTTTGTCTTCGTCGGTGTTAAGTACGGCGTAGCGGTTTGGGGTGACAAAAACTTTTGTGATTTTATCGATTTGACTGGGCGAACTGTTAGATAGGTTTCGCTTCGTTGTTTTAGGTATATGCGACATGATAATGACGTAATGACAAGTTATATAATAGCGATATGATAATGGAGCGTTAAACACAAACTGCAGACCCAGATACAGATAAACTTGAAGAAGCAGCCCTAAATTGTAGAACCTGCCACAACACAATTTGCAGAACTAGCTACAGCAACGTTTGTAGAACCAGCTACAGCAAAATTTGTAGAAGCAGCTACAGCAAATTTTGTAATGTCAGCTTCCACAAAATTAAAAAACCTAATCGTGCAAGTAGTAGACATACTAAAATATCCAGAAACTGTCAAAACACAATTTGCAGGGTTACCTTCAACGTAATTCGCAAAATTAGCCGTAGAAAAGACGGACATACAAAAATTTGCAGAAACAGATTCAGCACAATTTGCAGGACCAGATACAACCCAAACTGCAGACCTAGCTACAGATAAACTTGAAGAAACAGCCCTAAAAAAATCTGCTGAATCAGCCATACAAACATTTGTAGAACCTGCCACAACACACTTTGCAGAGCCTACTTTGGCAAAATTCGCAGAACTAGCTGTAGAAGAATCAGACATACAAATATTTCTAAAGCCACATTAACAATTGTGGCACCAGCACAACAACCCCTTAACCGAGGCCACATATCACAGACATTACCAATCTGGCTAAGAAAAAGACCAGTCTCCCCAAGGAAGGACAGAGAAAAAAACAGATGCATCACCTGACCAAAGAACAACTCTGAGTGGCCGCCCAGTCAAACTACCAGTGAGGTTCAGAAACTCAAACCTCACTGAAGGGGGAGTATGTGGTGCAGATGGCCAACTGCACCACAGTGTAAACAATTATTATATTAATGAATAAGTATAAATATTATTCTCTATTGGACTATTTTTGATCAGCATATTTATAAACAAAATGTTGATCTCCTGATCAAATAGTTATCTAATACCTACCAACGTAAAATTCGGGTATATCGATATGTTTTCTTCTTTGTATCATGTCCATGCGTTCTAGTTTTTCTCGTAACGAGTTTCTCCATTCAATTTTAGGATCGGGTAAAAACTCTGGATATATAAATCTAGAGTTGGATGGGACAACCGACTTCCTTTCAGGTTTAACTTGTTTTCCGGATATAGGTTCATCAGAGGGCTGTTGGACGTCAGACGGCGGAGAATTGCTTAACGACCTGCATACTCGGAGCACTGTAAAGAAAATTATTATTAATCTTAGGTATTCAAAAAACGTTCAAAATGTAGGAATATTACCGGGTGCGAATCCACACTGAAATCTGTGAAAGTTTAACGTTTTCAGCAACATATTGAACAACGTTCTTCCAAACGCTTCACGCAGCCATGTTACAAATTACAATTTACAAATTACGATTTGTAGGCGAATCGATGTAAAATAAAAGTCGCCTCGACCGACGCTCATGGAAATTATAAACTACTTCGGAGAATGTTTGTTGTGAGAAAAATTAATTGGTAGCCCGGCGATTAGATTTTATGGTTATACGACAACAAGAGTGTTGCCAACCTTGTGATATTAAAAAGAATTTGTGTGGTCCGACATATGCTGTTTTTCGTATCACGGACGTTTCGTCCCCGGCAATTATTGAGGTAGGACATTTCGTCCCGGAGAGTTATATTTAGCCATAGGACGTTTGGTCCCCTTCATATTTTTACATTAGGTATAGGACATTCGGTTCTCAGTTTATTAATTACTTCAAAGTGCATTATTTTACTATCATATACTACATTTATTTTTAATGAGCAATTCTGTAAATCTGTAATGTCTCATATGCAGTGTTGTAAAGTATTCGAGTAAAAGAAATCAAATTCTTTTTTCCGTATTGAATACTATTTTATTGAATACTTTTTTTTTTATTCTTTTAATTCTTAATTTGTTTCTACTTATAATTATTTTTGTTGAATAAAAATACCATACCGTCGTGGTTTTGCTCTAACATTACAACAATGTAATATTATATATTTATTTAACTACTTTATTTTAAGAGTAGGTATTTGTTACAGTCATACAGAGAGTATTCAATAAAGGTGTGCAATGCGTCTGCAGCTACTGCATTGGTACAAAAACAAAATGAAATAATAAATGTACCGAAAATAGTTAGTTTTAAGGAAAAGAAATTGCAATCTTAATATTGTACGGGATTTCAATATAATGACGATAATTACATTTTAAACTATTTAAAAAACATAAGTCAGTTGACCTAAAAATAAATATATAATTTATCTTAATATTATAGTATTTAATTTTAATTTATTAATTTTGACTATATTTTGTGTTGACTTAAAATTAAATTAAATTTATATAAATTAATATTAAATGGCCCAAAAATAGAGCAAAATTACAGGTACAATAAATAAAATTATAATAATTGTGTCATTTAAAAGTTAAGTCTGCAAGACTACTGGTAATTAGTTAGAAAATAAAAATTACCTAAACAAAATCTTATCATTAATAAATAAATATTTAATACCTATAGGCTATATTTCAAATAAGTGTTGTAGAGATATCTTGTTATAATGAATATGGTTAACTTTATTGAGTTTTTAATATAAATGAAAATACACTTAACAGAAACAGTCACAAGGTATTACACAAATTGAATTACATATTTTAAGAGTCTAAATGTTAGGTTAGGTTACACCATTGACAATTCTGGTACACAAATTAGATGAGATATAATAATAAGATAAAAAAAAAAAATAAATATAAATAAGATATATTAATCAGTCACGCCATCTGAGTTTCTTAACCTCACTGGTAGTTTGACTGGGCGGCCACTCGGGAGTTGTTCTTTGGTCAGGTGATGCATCTGTTTTTTTCTCTGTCCTTCCTTGGGGAGACTGGTCTTTTTCTTAGCCAGATTGGTAATGTCTGTGATATGTGGCCTCGGTTAAGGGGTTGTTGTGCTGGTGCCACAGTTGTTAATGTGGCTCTAGAAATATTTGTATGTCTGATTCTTCTACAGCTAGTTCTGCGAATTTTGCCAAAGTAGTCTCTGCAAATTGTGTTGTGGCAGGTTCTACAAATGTTTGTATGGCTGATTCAACAGATTTTTTTAGGGCTGTTTCTTCAAGTTTATCTGTAGCTAGGTCTGCAGTTTGTGTTGTATGTGGTTCTGCAAATTTTGCTGAATCTGTTTCTGCAAATTTTTGTATGTCCGTCTTTTCTACGGCTAATTTTGCGAATTGCGGTGAAGATAACCCTGCAAATTGTGTTTTGACAGTTTCTGGATATTTTGGTATGTCTACTACTTGCACGGTTAGGTTTCTAAATTTTGTAGAAGTTGGCATTACAAAATTTGCTGTAGCTGCTTCTACAAATTTTGCTGTAGCTGGTTCTACAAACGTTGCTGTAGCTAGTTCTGCAAATTGTGTTGTGGCAGGTTCTACAAATGTTTGTATCGCTGATTCAGCAGATTTTTTTAGGGCTGCTTCTTCTAGTCTGCAGTTTGTGTTGTATGTGGTTCTGCGAATTTTGATGAATTTGTTTCTGAAAATTTTTGTAAATGATCTATTATTGCGTTGTAAGTTTGTTTATCGGTGGGTTGTACAATGAGGTATGACGGGGTTGACTTACATGTAAAACCATTTTATCCGGTGGATAGGAGAGGCCCTGGCTTAGCGTTGTGAACTTTGTGAGGTGGTCTGTCCGGATCTTTCGTGATGGTAGTTGAAGGTGTGGTGAGTACTTTGTCTTCGTCGGTGTTAAGTACGGCGTAGCGGTTTGGGGTGACAAAAACTTTT